TACCTACAATGAAACTCTGTGGACAGGTTTGCCCTGAGAACTGCTCAGCCTCCAAGGCACGTCCTGGCTGCAGGCACTGCTCCTTGTCAAGGATCTGGCCCTGTCTAAACCAGGCTAATTATTAAGTCGTCTTCTTCCCATTAACTTGTGAGGAAAATTACCCTTCTGAGTTTGAATGACAGAACAGCATTAAGAGTATGCACCTTTTTTTTTTTTCTTAAATCAACCAAACAGAAAATTCACAATGAGGATGATCTTGTAATTACACACACGTCAGAACAGAGAGCATGATAGTTTGCTCAGATTTCTTTGAACGTTTCTTTAGAAGAATTTGGGAGGAAAGAGGGAGGGAAATGTTCATTGTAAATCAACTTTGGCACGAAACTTTTGTTAAAAGGTGCCCAACATGCATTACATTCTTTGTTCTGTGTTTTTCCTACACATAAAGCCTTGACAACCTGCTATTCTATGATTGATGCACTTATTTCTTCTAAAGTATCACTAACCAAGCATATCATTTTTATACAGTAAGTGTATATTCAATTTCCTACAGTTTGACTGCTAAACAGGCTCAGTGGTAAAACAAATATATACTGCCGCAGTGCACTGTTCAGGGGGACCAATGGAAAACCTTGGAATACTTTTCATTCCTGTTCCCTTTGCTTTTAGTGGCAATGAAATCACAGCAGGGGCACATGCTAACTATCCATATTTTTATAAAAGTTGTACTGTCATTGGGTGAAGTCTCCAACTACTGCAGACTTTGTACAATGTTAATGGGAATATTATGATTCATATATTCTTGCACAATAAGGCAGAATGACATATCAGGTTTGCAGGCTCTCCTGACAAGGTATGAGGTATTTATCTGGGTTTGTATACCACAGGCTTATCAGCCGAGTATCTGAACGACTATTGACATCATTATCATTCATGTATTCATAAGATGTGTAGGGGTCTCCCAGTTATATTCTGTGAAGTACAGAGTTGCTCCTTCTCAGTGCAAAAGAAAATATAAACTGAAGAAAAAGAATTCAAACTCCTGTAGGCTTAGTATTGGATCCCTGGCACTCCTGGACCGGGCGGGAGGATAATGGATCTCTGAGAATTCATGTATGTTTATGATGTACGAGGCATTTTGGCTGACATTGAATCAGGTCAGTGGGTCCATTGGACAGGATGCAATGTCAATGGAACTGTTATGTATTATTGATGTCAGTCACAGAATAGATAAAAACATTAGCAAAATAGCTTCCATTGCCATTCCATTTTTTTTTTTTCCTGAAATGACAAAAGGTACTAGTCCTTATTAAACACAAGAGGACTCCAATGTTTCTGATTCTCAAACAGTTACGACATGGAGCAAATCTAGGAGATGTTAATCTACTGACAAAACGATATTTTTACTTTAGAAAAAAAGGTTTAACTTCTTTCACTTGTAGTTTCAGAGTAAGTTTTGTCTGCAAAAGGGAAACATGCTTACTCTACTTCTGCAAATTGCTAGGCACATGAGTCGTTTATTCACTACATTTTTGCTTATCTCTGACCATTTTTTGGTAACAATATATCACTATACCAATGGATTTATAGAAATAGTTCTTATTTACATTTAAAGCAACTTAAAACTGCCTGATCTGTGACACTAAAGCACATATTAGCACTTCTTCACATTGCCAAACACGTGAAAAGACTGTCATGCAAATCACACCCCATAGACTACACATTTACTTACAGTAAGAGGACATGTAAAAACTAACTTTAAAGCTTTCAGCATGGACTATACCCATTTTACCTAACCTTCATCATCTCATGTTAGGCATTGCTCCCCTGACATGCAAACCACTTAAGCTGCTACCACAACTGACCCTTTCCTAAGTTAGAATCCTTAAACCCCACTAAAATCTGAGCTGCATTTGAAACGCTATGTTAAAAATAGCTATGTATGAATAAATATTTATAGGGTTTAACACCTTATGAGGAGGGAAATAAGTGCTATGGGGCATGCTACACAAAGACTACATAGAGTTTCTTTGCATTCCGGATCCTCCCAATCCCTTTAGTGACATTTTAAAACTTTAGGCAAGTAAGTAACACCATAAATTTCAATAGGGCTGTGCCTGCACTTAAAATGTTTCACAGCTTCAAAGCACGAATCATATGCTTGCATTTGCCAATAAGCTCCATAGAGGGATAGGGAAACATGTGTTTACCTAATTTACATACTCAAAGCTGTTTTGTGTGCATACCTTTGGCAGGGTCACCTGCAAAGATTTACATCTTTGATTCTGCACCCATGGCAGAGAGTTTTTATCAGAGCAAAATTTAGGATTTACTAAAATTTAATTTTAGTAAAGATTATGATCTTAAACAAATATGATACAGTTAAAGGAAATGCGCTCAGAAAGCAATGTGTCTCTTTGCTTGTTCCTTTCTAAGGAAGGGTTTGTTTGATCCTTCACTATGGTATAGATTTGTCTTATTGCTGGATTTCACCATGATGTTCAGAATACCCTGTGCCAATTGGAACTTGTGGGCACGAAAAACCACCCAGGAACTCCAGTGTTAGACACCTGAGTTTGCAAAGTAAGGACTCTTAATGACAACCTGATTGTTGCTTTGTTCATTTTCACAATAATCCTTTTTAAAAAATACTTTTCTTATTCCCATTCCTGCAACTTATCTTCGATTCCTAGTGCTTTGTTTTGAACTAGGAATGCTTATAGGGTCATTAAAACTGTAACTTGTGTACTGACAGTGTTGGCAAAGATAGGCTACCACTATTTGTGTTATCTTCAGAAGTGAAAACGTAGTTATAGTCTCTCTCTCCTCCCTCCCAAAGAGATATCACTAATTAGCGATTCTTTGATCCCACTATCTCTGAGCAGAGACTACAACAAGAAAGGTCATCAGGCCCCTGGCAGAAGTATTCAACCTCTTACATGTAAGTGGACCAGGTTTTACAAAATATTGTGTCATTTCTATGAGTAATTTATTTGAATGGCTTCAGTACCCACCTTGGGTAGTCAAACTCTACTGTTCATTAAATCTGGTGTCAATTCCACAATTCTCTACTAGCTCAGAATCAGAAGTAAACATCAATCAATAATTCTATGGATTCAGTGGGCATGTGGCAGTGCAATGTGCTTGCTCTGTTCCCGCAGTCAAAGCTTGACTGAACGGACACAACAGCCACGGGAGTGGTTTTTGTTTTTATCTCCTCCTCCTAAGAGTGCAGAAGCTGAGAGAAACTACAATGGGTGATGCTTCTATATCAGTTCAAGACTGCATCCCAGGTGGGTACAAAAATAGCATTTTCCTCTGCCTGCCCTCTACAGTGGTTCCCCACATCCCCAGCACCCGTGGACAGGCTGAGCTCATCCCTCTGACCCCTGACTGGCAACAGAGTGAATTTCACATGCACTTTCTTCAGGAATATACACTTCTATTTAACAAAAACTGCACACTATTTGTTCCCTCTCCCAGGTCTTTCCTTCCCTGAGAGCAAGTGGCTGTTGCAAATAATCTAAAGAGATTCCTCCTAGGCTCACTGCTCACAAACCCTCTTTTGCTGTAGAACAGATAACCGAAAATTTTTATGATCAGGTTCTTAAAATATTTTTAAACTTCTCCTTCCTCCCTGCCCCATGCCTTTTGATGTAAGGAGAAAAATCTCACACAGTGCCTACCCTTATCTCCCCAAGAGAAAACAAAGAGAGTTAAAGGCAAATGTCTTCTGCAGAGGCTGCCTTTTCTGTGCTGCTCTCCCCACTGTGTGCCAAATAATGGCATCTGTTCCTGCTGTTCTTTAGTTCCCCCATCCAGCGTGTTTTCAACTTCCTGTGAAAATTTGTGGTTCTTAAATCCAAAGGTCATGTTTAACACTTAAGTTCAGTTTGGAAGGATTTGGATTTGTTTCTCCTATTTATTTTTTTTTTTCTCAGCTCTGCTTTGAGAGTTGACAAAAGGCTTCCACCCCCTCTTTGCATTGTGCGTGTTTTACAAACTCCTGCATACATCTCTGCAATTCAGATTAATACTCTGGGAAATATCCATTCATGTATTGATAAGCATTAAAGGATTGCTGTTTCTGTGCCTTCTGGTGAGGTTCAACATGCTGTGACACTGCCCTCACTGTATGATGTCTGCAGTGTATAGGAATGCCCTCCATCAGGTCCACAGAAAACTCAAGCTGCATGTAAACAAAGCCACACTTCTTCTAAGCAGAGGTGGTTAAAGAGCTAAAATTCTACTCAGTTAAGTATAATGGTTTTGTGCAAGAGGAGCTGAACCCAGATCACCAAATCAATTTTTCTTATTGCTTCAATTTGGTCTCAAACTGGGATCCCAGAGCTAAAATGCCAGTGTTCTGTCCAGTGACAGAGCTGTCATTCTGCATTTTACAGTAGGCAGGCTGAGATGGTTTGATCATTAATATATTTTGGACCTCTGTTTATTCAGTATTTTCCCTAAAATATAATTTTTAAAAGTGCATTCTTTGTCAGCTGAATGGATTCACTGAGAAATGTTAAGACATAATTTTAGAGAGGCAGGCAGGGAATCACAGGCAAATACATAACTTTCTACATTGACAGAAAGAAAAGAAAGGCCAAGATCTTAATTGTTTCCTTTCTAACATTAAGTAAGATGGCCTGTGCATGTTGCTGAACATTTTTTTCTGTGCCAAGGAACTGGGCTGCTCCACAGAGCACTGGGCAAGAGCCAGAGAACAGACTTGGGGTCCATGCAGCCTGAATCCACCCTCCCTTCATCCTGAAACTATTTTCTTCATCTGAAAATTCATCCTGCAAATGCCACTTTAGAGATAAATGGAAAAAAAAAAGTCCTGAGAGGGATAGGGATTTAATGATGCAGTTTTAAAAAATGTTTCATGTTTCCTTTCTGTTCATCTGAGAAAGGGAATAAACCCCACCAGCCTGATGCTCTGTGCTGGCTCCCAAGATTCTCTCTGCCCTTGATTCCCAGGAGTGGAGCCTTCATGTCCTTTAGTCTGCACACCCCATGGATCTGACATGGTCTCTCGTTTGGTCTGAGATTCAGATGCTATTTCTGGTCTGAAGACATTTGTTCTCAATTGCCTACACAGTTCAATAGGATTTTAAGGTACATTTGTTAGGGATTATAAAGCACCTAAAGATGTATCAAGTGGAAGGGTCAATACAAGATCAGGCTGTATTGTGTTACAGCGTGTTGCATTATGCTGTATGTCTCAATTCACTATTGGAAACCAGATGTGGCAGGCAAGCCCAGCCTATTTTTTGAACATTTGTAGATATCTTTGAATTATGTCATCAATGCTTAAAGATTTCCACAAAGATTTCAAGAAGTTGATTTTCCTAAGTCTTCCAATCACTATCAAAACCTCAAATTCTGTTGGGTAAATTGAAACGCTCTATCCCAATCCAAAAAATAATAAGTGTTGAAGGAACCCTTACATCTTTCATTTATAATATATACAGAGGAAGGTATGAATTTGCTACCTGTAAGGTGTATTGAATTTTTAATCATCTATATATTTATGGTAAAGAGTAACACATTACTTCTAGCACACAAAAGCTTATGGCATACGATTATCCTTAATTAATGGGTAAGTGCAAAGCTTTATTATTCAATGAAACTGATTTATTATCTTAATTCTCCGATGTTCTGCTTCATGTTTCCATTGAAACCATTGTTTGCACCATGGTAACCAGTAACCACCATATGTACGTGCTCTTTTTTATGACCTGTACGTAATTACATTTTATTATTTTCTTAAAGCCGAAGTGCTGCCTGGGCTGTAGCTTCCCACACCTACAGACGGGGGACGGGGCGCTTGCTGCTGTTCCTGCAGGAACGGGGTGGTGGTTTGGTGTGTCACTACAACCCGCTGTCTATTTTTTCCGCGCACATCCCTCCTCTTCCCTTCCCAGCACGACGCTTCCCTACCTGTCCCTGTCTCCTCCGCCTGGCACAGCTAGTTAAGTGGAAGGACATGAAGAGAGCTGAAAGCCAGTGGGTGTCGGAGCTGCCTAGTGGAGAGATCCCCAGCTAATTGCTAGTCCTAACAGGCACAATTAGCTGCTACAAGCCCTTTGAGATGGCCCTGGGCTTCTCTCAGGTAACAGCCATCACTAGATAAAGGCTGAAATACGCTGCATTTAGAGAGACACTTGCAGACAGGGATGTCACAGGCTGCCAATTATGCTCTGCCTGTACACAGTCACTTCCAAGAACCAGACAAGACACATACACCTGAAGTTAAAGGGACAAGATGTGTACTATTTTGAACTACACAAGTGTGGGGCACGTGAAGATATAACCCTTCTCAAATTAGGTCGCGTCATCTTTTCAATTATCAGTTCTTGATCAAGTTCTGCAGTGTTTTCGAACATTTACTCCCAGCAGTAAGTCCTGGAAAGCTCAGCAGGAGAGGGCTGCTTATATTTTTTTGCCGTATGTGATGTTACTTTAAGCAAAGTTTCACCATCACCACACAGACAAAAATGGCTTGACAGGCCTGTGCTAACCAAATAGTGATGCTCTGCCCTGTTGGGACTGCAATCTATCTATTCCTCACAGAGGAGGCAAGACACATTAGCATATGTAAGGATTACTTCTGAAATTAGTAATTGTCTCACACGTCATTAAAAAACTTAACTTCTCTGAGCATCTCTGGCGGTACATTCTTCCTCTCAAGCAATGAACTTCTGTACTAAATAAAGCAGCCCAGAAAGACACTGAAAAAAAAAAAAAAAAAGCAAAACACATCAGGTTTTGAGAATTATTAGAAGGAAATGGGCATTTTCAGGTATCTACCACTACACAGGCCACCAACAACAGCATCCTGTGGAGAACCATTATAGCTGAGTGCATAAAAATTCAAATGTTTCAAACTTGGAGACTATAAGAATTTCAAGATCTAAGTTGCGGTGAGTAATATTAAAAAACAATTTCCAAGACATATAGCAAGCAAAGATTCTTGAACAAATTTTCATATAATAGTAACCTCAGTCACCCACTTCCAGACTTGAATACCCATTTAAAAAGATAGTCAGAAAAACTGTGTACACACAACTTCCTCAGAAGAAAACTTCTTATCTGGTTGCTCTGAGAACTGAAATCATTCCCCTGCTTACCTTGAGAAAGTCCCATATCTCCTGCTGTTCTGTTAAAACACCAAAACTCCATCACGTTAATATTAAGAGCACATTCTCATGGTATTGATCAAAATCTGTCAAAACACCTGCAACAAATAAAAGTAAAATTGAATATTAAGAGATTTCTATTAATTTCTTATTTCTTTAAATAGCTTAAACATTTCATATTTCTTTCCTTTTCTTTTTTTTCAATAGCATCTTGAAGACCATCTTCCAAATCATATCACATATAGTAAAGGAGGTTAATATTCAGAAGTCAGCCTCCCCAGTTCCAAATGATACCACATAGGAATGGCTCTTTCTGTTTAGGAAGCTAAAACAAAATTGCAGACATTAAATATAAATTTCTGGGTTTTAAGACTCCATTTAAATTTTCCCAAGAGCTTTTTGATCTTAATATGGAAAGTATGCAAAGACTCTAATTACTAATTATGGAATAGTTAAATTCTGTTAAAGGATAAAAATTACTTGACACAGTTGATTTCACGTCCCCAGAATTAACAATGAAGCTCCAAAAGAAGACTCATAGGTTTTGTTGAGACCTATGTCCATCTGCTTTCCTACATGGAAGGAAAGGGAGGCCACTGAACCGACCAACAATATATGTCACCTGCTCTTAGGCTCTTCTCAGATTTTTGGACAAGATTCCAGGTAAAAGGACCCAAGTGTTGCTTCCAGCGTTCAATTTAGATTCCAGATGCATTTTATTAGTTTGTTTGTTACAAACAAGTTTGTTTTCCTTATAAGAGTGCATGTCTTTGAAATATATGCAAAACCAACATGCTAATATTTGATGGCAAACCAAGGAACGATCAAAAACCTAAAAGGGAAGAATGAGTGCTCTATTATTAAACTAGCAAAATAAATAGATATACATTTTTTTCCCTTTTTACAGATACATTTGCAACCAAATTAGTCACAAGATCTCCTCCAGTATAAATAAAAAAGGCTTGCACTTACCTATTAATTAAGAATAATGGAATGCCATAAGCTTTTGTGTGCTAGTGGTACTGTAATTTGTTACTCTTCACTACAATAAATATACAGCTGATTAAAAATGCTGTGCAGCTTACATATATTAAATTCATACTGCACTGTGTATTGATTCCCTTTGCTCATCCTGGTAGTCCACTGAATTCAAGGGGGGTAAGCTTTGACCCTCTCAGGCAAAGGAGAGAAGCCTCTGGGAAGACAGAGGGGTTTAGTAGCACAAATCTCACAGGCCAAGCTCCTCAGTTGTCCTGATCCAATTCCTCACTCTCAAGCCATCAGCTTTGGGGGTTTTAAGGACCAAAGAGGGCTCTGAGAAAGCAGATTCTCCTTCCCAGCTCAGGGGCTTGGTACACTGCTCTGGTGTCCCATCTCAAGCTGTGAGTTATCCAAAGGGATTATTGCCTCCAGCTTCCCCTTCTTCCCATCCTCAAAAGTCATGGAAAAAAAAAATAGCATGGAACACATCTGGTAAATTGCACAGTAGAGGGGGAAGAAAACTCACCAAGAATAGTATCCTGGTGAAAGTGAATAAAATTTCTCAAGCAAATTCACAGACACTGAACTTGAGATCTCCTCTAAAGAAAAAAAAATAAAATAAAAAAAAAATCTTTGGGTTTATTCATGACTGTGAGAAACAGGATTATTTGCACACCACTGTGTGTGCTACTCAAACATACCTCTACCTACAGCTTTGTGCAGCATTGCAAACTTTGAGATCTTACAAATTGATGAATTAGGCCTCAATCACTCCAAGAGTTATTACATCATAGTAAATAGCCCATTTGTCCTTTTCATGGTGACCACCCCTAAACTCAGAAATTTAAATGTGTAATTTAAAACAGATGTTTTTTTAAATATACCACACTTTATATATGGCAGCAACCTAAACCATTATGCCATTGTACCAAATTATTCACATTATATTATTATTCTCAATATATTCAAATTTCAGACTCTATAGAAATTGAATTCTCATTTTAAAAAGTCTAAGTCCTCACCCGTGTGGCAGAGAAACCTCTACACATCATCTTGCTATAAATGAGTATTTGTTGGGCTTTTCTGTCTGAAAAACCAAACAGTTACAATACCACCTGTGAGAAACTGAATTTTTCACCCTTGTGTAGCCCTTTTCATCTAATTAGGGTCAATTATCACTCTGTACATGTTAACATTCCCTACTTAATTGCTAATAATCTCAGCAGATAAGAAGGAGAAGTGAAAGTTGGCTCTCCTGAGAGAAATCAGAATTTGCTCCCTGAGGGAAATGTAGAACGGAAAAAAATTTTAAAAAAGAACTAGGAAAAAATGTAATTAAAGAAGAAAACAAAAAAGCAATATTGTCCCACAGAGTGATAAGAAATGTAATGATCACATGCTCCAGGAATACATAATGCTGATGATCAGAGTTTAGTCCCATACTCTTTGTGCAGTCCTGCTGTGAGTTGAGGGTATTGCCTGGACCATGGTCAGCCACAGTTATCAGGATCTGGCTCTCTGGACATGACAAATTTGCCTCTCCTGACAATCACAGAATCCACTCTGTCAGCTCCAGAAGACTGTGACACAGAGTCAAGTAACTTTCAGCATGACCCTCTGTCACAGTGTTGAACACAGAAAATGCACCATATGCAACTGCATTACACGTAGAATTTTAGGGTGGCAATCAACAAACAAAACCTCCAAAAACACACACAAAAAAAGAAAAGGTGAGATTTTTAGATTAACCATCTTCCTTTAGAAAACTGGTCATGTACCTTTACAAGTCAAAATGCCAGTTTTACGTATTAGCTGTAACCAAGTGCCCTCAACGTACGGTGTCTGATAACAGTGTGATGGAGCATCTGCCCACTACAAACTCTAAAAGAAGTGATTCCTACCTATTTTCCAGCAATATTTCCTACACTTGGACTCGACTGGTGTAAGTATTGACCGTTCTGGATACAGTGGGGTTTGTGACACCTGATAGGATCTGAAACCAGAATGGTATGGCTGTAGGCCATAAAATATCAGAAAATAGAGAGCCAAGGAGATAAATTTTGTGAGTCCACCTGATCAATCCAGCTGAGCAGAGTGCTGGTTTCCTGAATCCCATGAAGCAGGCATGTAAAATATCTGTTTCTTGATGGGCCTGGCAGATGTGATGCCTGAAATAATTCGACTCTGATTTATCTTTTGTAGCTTTATCTAGTTCCCTATATTAAAACTACAATCCTAAAATAATTTTAGGACCATTTATTTTTATGTCTACAAACAGTAGAGTTACCCAAATGTTAAAAGCCTACGCTCGTAGGCCCATAAAAGCACTGCTGATTAGATTGCAGTATTTCAGTTTTTAGTTATCAACACTGACACTTTTGGAAAGAATTGAGTACAATATACTTCTGTACACATTGCAGTGTTTTTAACCATTTAGTCAGTACCACGTACATCAAATAGACACCATAATAAAACAGAAATACATTAAACATACATCTGGAAGCACTTTGTAACTGACTTCTGCTTATGAAAACGACTGTACATAATTTCATCATTCACTTTAATTCAGTCACATGCTGCAGTCAGAGGAGTCAGATAACACTCTGCAATAAGATTCAAGCATAGATTTCCATGTTTTCTCTATCAGCCCACACTTGCCATCACTTGTGAGTCCATAACGTGGCACCAGAGCCTGCAGCATTGGTGCTGAACACAGCAGGGACCTGATGGAATATCACAGGACTCACCCTGCAGAGTGTCCCTGCCCTGAACAGCTCAGATCACATTTCATGAGTAGGTACTAATGGCATTTCCAGCAGCACTGGGTTACCCTGAAGCAGCTTGACCAGAAGCTGTAAGGCAAAGCCAGATCCTGCCTTCCCTTACCAGTAAATAGGAGGATATTTGTGTGATACCTGTTCTCTTTTTATCCTTTATTACTTGTTTGAACCATCACCCTAAATGCACTCCAGGATGAAGAGCTGCCATGTGTGTACAGCTCTTTTTATGCTGTATATTTTTCAGTTTCAGCCACAAAAGGTGTATTTGCAGCAATAACAGAGCCACCTTAGCTTATCCACTGGTATTCCTTTACAAACACCCACTAAATCCCACGAGTGGGCCCCAGCTCTGATGAGTTGGCATGCTGTAATGCTTGGCCACTCTTCTTGCAACTTTTTAACTACCATGTCAATTAGTCGTGGCTGAAGTGATTAGCACAACAGGCATATTAGAGGTAAAAAAAGTAGACAGAACTTAATCTACACCCATCTACATTGTCAAAATCAACAACAAAGCCCCAGCAAAGTGTCTCTAGTCTCCATGATAGTGAGACTTCAGGGACACCACTGGTTATCCTATTTTATTGACTGCTGGCTCGGCCTCAGTAACATATTTCCAATATTTTCTTAACTTGTTCAATTGTAAAACCAACCTAATACAGACTAATTCATAAGCACAAAACCACAAACACTTTCTTGTTTAACATATGAAGAGAAATCCTTTGACAGAAAATAGAGATTTAGTTAAGATTCTGTACAATAGTTTTCCAAATTGTCTACTACTCAATGATCTGAAAATACTTCATAAATATTATCTAAGTTTCAGTGCAACAATCATTCATGCATCAATGCAGGCAACCAAACAGAGGTATCCTTTTTATAAAAGTTGAAAAATCCAAAGCACAGAAAGACTAAGCAAATGTTAAAAGAAATTACAAGATTTCTGTTCTAATAGTCGAAACAAACAGTTGGGGGGGGTGGTTCTGAATCAAAGTCTATGTTTTAAATTTCAGCTATGCTGACTTATTGCTTCTCTAGAATATTTAGAGACTTCATCTAAAAATCCACTGCATTAAATATAGTCTGGCAAGCTCTTGAACAGAAGAGCATTGTCCCTTACAGACTGACTAGCTGGCCAGTCCAGCTGGCCTGGATGAAATTTCTTTCTTGATCATTTTGTTTATAGAATATATTTTGCTTTGGCACTTCTGCCACCTGCTCCTGTTTCCATTACTCCATGGCTGTGGAAGAGCTTGCCCACTTCAGTCTTCACTTACCCTGAGAATGCAAAATTATTCTTTTCTCATAAAATAAACTTCGAAACCTTCTTTCATTAGTCAAATTTGTTACTTTGCATTTTTGTGCCTGAAGACAGATCACAGGGAAGCTTTGTAACAGGATGGGTCTCATGTAAGCCTAACTGGGACAAAATCATGAACATCAATCTCACCATCCACGAGCCCAAAGAGAGGCTTTTTGCTTTGCCAATGAAGATGCCTCAAGGTGACATATATGGCAAATCCTCATTATTTGGGGTGGTGACTGGATGTAGGTGGGTTAATAAACTCAGCAAGTGATGGAGTAAGACCAGCGACTTCAAATAACACAGAGGACCAGAGCATCCTTTACTCCACCCTCCCGCAGAACCTTTACAACTTGCTGGCCCAGCACTACACAGACAAAACCCCATTACCTGTGGTGTGGCAGGAGAGACTCAGAACAGCCTCCTTCTCCTCTTCCCCCAGTCTCCAGGCCACATGTTGCCAAAGGAAGGTAACTGCAGGAAGACTCAATGCAAATCAGCTGAGGGAGCTGCCTCCTGCTCCACAGCTGCAGCAGAACTGCAGCAGCAGCAGGAAGACACTGGTTCAGTAAAACCACAGATTAAGAATGATTAACCTTTACTCGGGTTTGCAGTGATCAGCAAGGTTGTAGCCAAGAGGCGACGTCCTTCCACCATTCCACAGTTCCCCAGGTGGAACCTGCTGCTGCTCATGATGCCAACGAAGCAAACTCACACACTCATTTTCAATGTGGCTTTGAGAAATACTGAGAGATGCTGGTCAAAGCCGTTATTGTTGCCAATAGAAAAAAAGAATAAAGTTCTTTTTCCTTCTCTTTAAATGCAGCTGTATTTTACTGCAGAGGGGGACCTGAAAATAATTTTCTGCATTGGTATTATCAATTATCCAAAGCCCACTTGCACCATTATGACTTTAATGTTCTCCCAATAGAAATATAATTCTCATTATTTTTATTGGGTTTTATTTTTATATTGCTATTAAATGCATATCACCAGATTTTCTGTTTTCTTAAACTATGTGGGCCAAATATCCCACCCAGTATGAAATCCTGACGTTGAAACTGTGCCCCTGGGCTCAGGCACGTGTGCAACATGCACAGTGGTGATGCTGCAATTGCTTAGGTGTGGGATCATTTATATAAATAAAGCTATGCAAACAAACTTAGTGCTCTTGAATTTTACTTTAACCACCAAAACATACCTGGTAGAAATCATATTTCCAAACAATCCCCTTTCTTGACCCAAAAGGACTAGTATTAGGGAGAAGGTAATGATGCCCTTCAGCACAATTCATTAAAACATACTAAGCTCTCAACAGAAAAATTCTGAAAGAACAGGAACTGTTTGAGGATATGGCTTATTTGATATTTTTCTATAGATGTTTTAGAATTAAGACAAATTTAATTCCACCTCCCTCTCCTCCAAAGGTAGAAAGGGAGGGGGTAAAATTGATGTATTCCAACAAGGGACAAATTACTGTCATGATTC